TTAGGGTTCAGAGTTTAAGGTTTTGGGGGACTTAGTAGGTAGAGGCCTAGGGCGTAGGATGTTTAGGCTTGACGGCTTAGGGGTTTAGGGTTGCTACCTTGGGACAGCTACGTACAACCCAAACTAAAGTACGTATGACCTGCCTTCGAGCCTGGCATGAGAAGTAAGCCTTAGGGTTAAGGGTCAGGGTTTAGGGTTTAGGGTTTAGGGTTTAGGGTCTAGGGTTTAGGATTAATACTTCAAGTGCTGGTCCTAGCAATCATAGCGTCAGTGGTAAGAACCGTAATAACGGTGGACATGGTAGCAAGAGATATAGCAACAAAAGCAATAGCAGTAATAGTGGTCAGGAGCTACCAGTTGTAGTCATAATGGCAGCAATTTCGACAATAGCCGTCGGAGTACTAATAAGACTAATCGTAACTACAGGCTTGGACTACCAGACAGAACATGATGGGTATGACATGCAAGGATGTGCATACTGATGACATTGAAAAGTTGCATGTATTCTCTGTCTGTGTGCGTCTGTGTATGCACACGAACATCTGTCTCCGTCCGCTTGTGGCGTCCCTTTTCATGAAATATTCTGATTTGGCACGATCTCCCTATATACACCTTGAGTTCGACTCAAGCGTGGAGAGTTCTGAAAGCTAGGCTGGTTGTCCTTTGGCGGCGTTGCACGATACGAATAGCAACCTGTGCACACACGCGACGAAGCAACAATACCCAAAACCCTATGCCTCAACCCTAAAACCCTAAACCCTAAACCTTGGAGAGCCCCGCAAGCCATTGCTATGGCCCATATGGGGCGGGAGTATTATAGGGGCCTTAATAGTTAGAATAGGGTTTTGGGGCCCATTATACTATAATTATACATCAACCCCATACCCTAAACCCAGGATACTATAGGTAATAATGAAGGCCCCTATACTAGTAGGTCTCGGCTCGCTCCTGGTTTGGGGTTCCTTGGAAGGGATCCTGAAAGGCTTCCATAACGGATCAAAAATCGGGCTCTAAATTCGGGGCCTTAATGATTAGAATAGGGCTTTGGGGGTATAAACTTATACTAGGCTCGAATATAACAGGGCACCCCCAAAAATGGTATTGGTAATCATTTAGGCCCCAAGACAACCATCGTGAGGCTCGCCTGAAATCCAAAAATACTGCTACTACCGGGTTGAACTTAGGAACCCTCTATGGAGCCCTGGTTTCGGTGTACAGACATAGGGGGTGCTTAGGCACCTATGCTACGACTACACAATATAACAATAGAAGTTGTAAGACATGTTGCCGGCTTTTCGGCGTCCACTACCAAATCCCTAAACCCTAAACGGCCCTATACTAAACCCCCAAAAGTTGGAAACAGGATTAAGGACAATTAGTGCTGGGATTCCCTATCCATTACTCTTAAGGATTGAAGCTATTAGGTTTCCAACTTTTCGGCTTCTACCGCAAACCCTAAACCCTAAACCCTAAACCCCTAAGGCAGTACCAAATCGAATGCCCCGGAGCTCCGATGCAAACAGCCGGCCTTTTGCAGAGCGCTTGCTGCTCTTTGCCCTTGGCCGCGGTGGTGCTGAAACCAGCTTTCTGCAACACTGGATCTAACACACCTAAACTTAGGGAGAATGAGAGCGACGACCAGAATGACACTTCCAACTCATCATAATAATGACAAGATATGATGAATTGTGTAAATAACGATACACGCCAACCGCAGCAATCGTTTGAGATAGATGGGATCAGCTGCTGAATGGGACGATGGCAGGATTCTATGCTGACGGTTAAACTGGTAGTTGTTGAGAGTCGTCGTCGCGGCAGTAGTACCAGCACTGATCAGAACAGGTCAACATTTTCTTTGGCTGCTACTAGTCGCGGTCGTGGTCGCGATGGCGGGGGTGACGTCATCAGTGTTAATATAAGGGCCTGATTATCAATACGGTTTTTTGGGGGGGGTTCCTTATTTAAGTAATAGTATAATATACCCCAAAATTAAAACCCTATTCAAATTGTTAAGGCTCCCATGTTATTCCTGACTCCGGCGCCTGACCGACACGCTGTTCTCAGGGCCCGGCGGCGTGACGTCCAATTTGGGGGCCTGGCCAGGGGTAGCATCTTCCAGAATCAGTACCATTATTCTTATTTAGGGTTTTGGGTTTACAGTTTAGGGTACTATTATTCTTATTTAGTACTGTACTTATATATAAAAATCTAAAAAATGAGGACAGGTTCTGGTTCCCCCTACCGTGCAGAATCGCTCAACCCTAAACCTAAAATCCCAAAACCCCAAACCCGAAACCTGAGCCCCCAAACCCCAGCCCCAAACCCCAAACCCGATCACCCTAAACCTCAAACCCTATAAGCTGCAGGGGCTGATCCGGCTCAAGCAAAATCTACAAACTGCGACCCTGAACAGGCAGCTGCTCCGGATGGCTGATGATGGGGTTATAGGCTTATGTTGTCAGGTTTTGAAGTGTTTAATGAGGGCACGACCCTAAAACACTAAACCAAGCCCTCAACATTCCCAAGCTCTCCGTGAACATGGCCCCGCACCTGTGGGGCGTGCAAATCCTCATCGACGTAGATCTGGATATCTCTTGGAGGACGTTGACGGTTCCTGCCATGACGTTTTTTGAGGGTGATAGTAGCGCCTTCATAGTTGGCATACAATTTTGATCTGGGGTTATGTTATACCATACTTGTGGTAAGGAGCCGCAGGCCATGAGTCATAGTATAGATTACGGAGTATTCCTGCTGCTCCGAGCTGTAGGCTCTTGAGGGCCGGTTGACATGTC